GCTTAACCAATTCACCTATAGCGCATGTCTTTGAACTGTGGTGTAAACTGGAGCACCCAGAGGAAACCCATGCCAATATGGGGAGAACATGCAAACTCCACACAGAAATGCCAACAGACCCACCCAGCTGAGGCTTGGACCATTGACTTTCTTGCTGTGATCAACAGAGCTACCCACTGGGCCACTGCACTGCCCACCCTCAGATTATAGATTTTCAAATACTTGTACAGTATTTTAGCCAAAAACTCTCCTATCCTAACTAACCATACAACAATGGAAGGATTATTTTCTCAGCATAAAGTGTGTCTCTTTTTATGACAATTATGTCTGGCTTTCTGGTTCAGGGTGATAAACATTAACAGTTTACTCAAACAAATTCTTAGTAAATCAAGTAAACTTTGTATTGACTTTTTCTTTTACAAGTACAGTTGGTCTAACTATCTTTTGGGTTTGGATAAACATATTAGATAACTTCTTTAGGAAAAATAAGTGCTCCAGACTACATCACATAAGCACCTCACATATCTTCAAACTGGCCAGTGTGGCCTTACATTTCTTCAGACGGCCTCACACCATGTCACTCTGCCTCGAGCTGCTCCAGATTGACTCACATCACTTCTCACCACCTCACATTGCCTTAAACTGGCTCCCATCACCTCACACTACCTGACATTTCCTCCAAAATAGCGAGAAGGGATAGCATGGCCATCCTGCTCGCTTGCATCAGTGTCAGCACTGTCCCAGTTACCTGTCAGTGGAGAAAATGAGAGCATGGTGATGTGCTGTCCTTATAACAGCTGGTCTCAGTGCTGTTCAAGTCAGCAGCAATGAGGACGTGACTCAAGCAGAGCTGTGGTGTAAGCCTTCAAAAGACATGTGTGACCCTGGAGCACAAAACCAGTCTTAAATTACCAAAAAATATACAGTTGGGGTCTGAATTATTTATTTTTTTCCCAATTTCTGTGTAATGGAGAGATTTTTTTAACTCATTTCTAAACATAATAGTTTTAATAACTCATTTCTAATAACAATTTTTTTATTTTATCTTTGCCATGATGACAGTCAATGATATTTGTTTAGATATTTTTTTCAAGACACTTCTATACAGCTTAAAGTGACATTTAAAGGCTTAACTAGGTTAATTAGGTTAACTAGGCAGGTTACAGTAATTAGGCAAGTTGTTGAATAATGTTGGTTTGTTATGTAGATTATCGAAAAAAAAATAGCTTAAAGGGGCTAATAATTTTGACCGTAAAATGCCTTTTAAAAAATGTTAAACTACTTTTATTCTAGCCAAAATAAAACAAATATGACTTCCTCTAAAAGGAAACACATTATCGGAAACACTATGAAAATTTCCTTGCTCTGTTACACATTATTTGGGAAATATTTAAAAGAGAAAAACATTCAAAGTGGGGCTAATAATTCTGACTTCAACTGTATTGTATGAGTCAAAATTATAGATGTTTCTTTTATGCCAAAAAGCATTAAGCAATGAACAAGTTCCATTAATATATTTAAAGAATTTCCTACTGTAAATATCTCAAATTTTGTTTATTAATATTCCTAAGCACTTTATTTTGACAGATTTAAAGCCAATTGTATCTGTTGCATCTTAACTAAGTATTGTCCTTTTCCATAGAAACCATACATCAGTAAAAAGCCTATTTATTCAGCTTTCACGTAATGTATAAATCTTAATTTCTGAAAATTGACACATGATGTTTGTTATTTCATCAATGATAGCTATGTTTTTTGAGGTCTTAGAGTCGCATATACAGTTGAAGTCAGAATTATTAGCCCCCCTGTTTTTTTTCCCAATTTCTGTTTAACGGAGAGAAGATTTTTTTTCAACAATTTTTAAAACATAATAGTTTTAATAACTCATTTCTAATAGCTGATTTATTTTATCTTTGCCATGATTACAGTAAATAATATTTTAAATAAAAAATATAGCTTGAAAGGGCTAATAATTTTGACCTTAAAATGGTTATAAAAATTTAAAAAATGCTTTTATTCTAGCCAAAATAAAACAAAAAAGACTTTCTCCAGAAGAAAAAAATATTATCAGACATATACTGTAAAAATTTCCTTGCTCTATTAAACATAATTCTGGAAATATTTAAAAAACAGAAAAACTAATTCAAAGGGGGGCTAATAATTCTGACTTCAACTGTTGATGCTCTCCCACAAATGCGACAGACTGTTGCCGGATCTTTAAATATGCTTGTTTACTTTGTTTCTCTCCTACTCTCATTTATCACCCTATATTTTCCATATACAATTTAAAAGCAAGAGGAAGACATATGTGCTTGGGATAAGTTAAAAGTTTGCACTGCATGCTTTAGTTGCGACTCTGGGGATTTCAGATTTAGCCACTGCCATCAAACAAAGCGAAATCATAGCAAGGTGTGCTTGTTTTGTGCCTACGCACAACATATATCATCAAAGGCTCCTATCTCGCAGTATCACATGAAACCATGGCACATATGGTCCCACACACACCAATCTTACACTTCCATGTAGCAAACCTCCCACTCAGGCTCTGGTAGGATTTACTCAAAGAAGGTTCTGGCAGATGGACAGATTAAGAAAGTTACTGCACTAAAACACTGTCAATATAACATTTCCTTACCTGTGCTTAATTTTAGACCCTCGCTGTGTACGCAGATGTCATTTAGATTTACAGGAAGATCATCATGACTAATTAGGTAATGATCTTGGAGAGGAACCAAGACTCCTAACCAGAACACTTTTGAAAAGTAAGTTTAGACCAGATGCCAATCTGTCTATTGCACTGACGACTGTATACGAAATTAATGAAAGCGGTAGAGCAAACACTTTGTGTGTAATCAATCAATATCTCGTGGTGTAAAGGTATTGAGTCGCAAAATAAACAAGCGATTTCTATCCCACTGAGGCTATGTTCAAATTCCTCATTTATTTTAGCCTGTCTCGCTTTCACACATACAGACGGCTTTCTCTCTCATTGGGATGCAGCTCCTTGCTTTAGCCCCAGCCCTAATTAAAGCATCCTTTGGGCCTCACTATGTGGAGCACCAAACCAGATCACATCTCTGGTGGGCTGAGGAGGAAAGAGGAAGTGAGAAAGGGAGGAACAAGTGAGAAAAGGTGGAGGGGCATCAAGATGTAGGCTTGATCTGACTGCAAATGTTGCCTTGGAGCCTGATGGCATGTTTCATTAAATTCGTCATTGTTTTTGTTTCATTAATGTTTGCTGTGTGGGAATTGCTAATGATTTCAAAACAATGGCGGATGATCTATAATTATTCTCAGGGCTCGTTTCATTCTAGATTGGCACGCATTTTTAAAATTCCAAATTAACAAAATGTGCTTTTGTGTGAATAACTGATGGCGAGAAAATGTATAAGAGAGAATAGTGGGACGCTGTGGGTGCAAAAGACAAAGAGTTAGAAGAAGATATAGTGAGAGCAAGAAGTGGGAGGGAAGAGGAGAATTTTATGTGTGTCAGAGAATGGTTTAGCAACCTTGGCCTTCATAACTGAGATCGTTTGGTTACTAGGACTTGCAGCAAACTTTTTACAACCTAGATTTTATGTTTGAGGGCGCTCTAAGCTGTTGTTTGAAGGAGACTGTAGGCCTACTTTTTACCCAGATTATTTATAAGCATAGGATTAAATCACATATTCTTGCAACTGTCATTTGAGTGTTCAGTGAAGGTTGGCAAGAGTATATGGTATGAACAAAAGCTAAGACTCAGCTGGATTGAACAGCAGATCTGAGTCTGGGTAGTTCTCAAATGTGTTCCATTTTTCTTTGGCGTCTGGCACAATTCAAAAGCATTTTAATCTCCCATTTCTATACGTATTTTCTTCTCTGACATACATTGGGCCCGGAATGCAGTTCTGAAATGGGAAACCTTGTATAGCCGGATGATTAATGATGTTTGTCATATCGTGATCCCCTCTTGCTGTCTATATGGAGGTCTGACAGATTATGTGGCAGGGTGAGATAAATGATCCCCATTCTGGAAAGCCTGCGCATGGCTCATTTACTATCATTCTAATGATTAGTAGAATGAAATCCAAGGGTAGGACACTGTTTGCTCTTACAGCTAATGAATGATTTGTTGGGAAATGGTCCAAATGGAAGTGGGATTCCCTGGTTTTATATAGAAGTTTTATCTGAAATTACACAATAGTTTATATAATAGCAGCATATATTTATATATTCAGGTATTTGTGCCAGTTTGTATAAGCTCTTGCATCTTGTCATCAGTCCCTGTACTGAAAATTTGGACTAATTTAAAAAGGCATTTATAAGATTTGAGATGCTCATTATCATTTGTCATATAACTTTGTTTTTGTTGGCTATATATTGTTTTCTTATAATGAATGGCACATATTATTTTTGAAAATGAGCTACAGTTATCGTTAGTTTTATTTATTTGTGTATCACTATATTTTGATGGTCCATTTGTTGAATTTACATTGCATTGCGTCTACAGTTACATTGCATCTACATGTCAACTAATTCTCATTGGATCATAAGGAGACTGTTAAGTTGGTGTTAGAGTTAGTGTAATTTTGCATGTACAGTACTTACAAAGTATCTTATTGCCAGTTAAATGCCCGTTGAAGGAGCAAATCAACAGATATTAAGCAGACAGTCTCCTAAAACTCAAATAGACCATCAAAATAAACTGTTATCTTTATTTGTTTATTAAATTTGTGATAAATTTGATATATTAAAATATTTTTGTACATTTTAGTGTATTCGTAAATTCCAATATCTTTAATTTACATAAACTGTTTTTAATTATGCATTGAATATTTCATTAGCAAAGAATCTGATTATGAAAATGAATAATAGCTGAGTTTTTTGTTGCTGTTTTTTTTTTGATTGTTTCATTTTTTACAAATGAACCCTTAAATTGTTTTTAATTTGCTGTTTTGAGAAACTTTGATAATTTGCTGCTAAATTTTGCTTATACGTATTGTCTTTGTTTTATTTGACAGATTCAACAAAGAGGACTCCAGCACCTTGTATTTCAACTCATGATCAGTGAAAAAAAATGCATCAGACACTAACTCTGATACACCGGATATGAGCAAAAATGGGGACTCTGTCAGACACCATGACAAGCCAGCAGCTTTGACAGCCCAAGAGAAAATCCTTATTTGCATATGTGAAAGAACATTCCTTACTCTCAATAACAGACTTGCATAAGAATACAGCCTTGTTTCATTTTATTTTAAAACACCCCCTCCGTCCCCAGTCCCATCATGAAGAGTGTTCTCTTCCTTCCCGTTGTCCTGCTCTTATGCCCACCAGCACTGGTCAGGGGTGACTGCTGGCTCATCGAGGGGGATAAAGGTTATGTGTGGCTGGCCATCTGCAGCCAGAACCAGCCACCGTATGAGACAATCCCACAGCACATCAACAACACAGTGCATGACTTGCGGCTTAATGAGAACAAGATCAAAGCTATTTTTTTCACCTCCTTGAGTCGCTTCTCAAATCTGACAGACCTCAACCTCACTAAGAATGAGATCTCATACATTGAAGATGGTGCTTTTGCAAGCCAGGCAAATCTACTGATTCTGCACCTTGGATATAACAAGTTAACCAACCTGACTGAAGGCATGTTGCGAGGTCTGGGACGAATGCAGTGTCTTTTCCTCCAGCACAACCTTATAGAAGTTATTGCCACTAATGCGTTCTGGGAGTGCCCTAGTCTCAGTAACCTGGACCTGACATCAAACAAGCTTGCCAGACTGGACCCATCCACTTTCACTGTATTGGGCAGGCTCATGGGATGTGAACTTGCAGGAAACCCGTTTCACTGCGGCTGTGAGCTCTACAGCTTTCTAACATGGTTAGAAGTCTTCAACAATGTTACACACACCTATGATCGACTTCAATGCGAGACCCCACGGGAGATGTTTGGCTATCCATTGCTGAGTCCTGTGGGTGGGCATGGAAGGAGTGCTCGTCACATCCTGTCCTCAGTGTGCCGGGATGGGGTGCTAATTCCTGGAATGACATCTCTACCACCTGATCCTGATTCTTCAGGCATGGAGCCTGGCATGTTTGAGCCCATTGGACCATACCATCAGCCCACAACTTCCTCGTCGTCAGATAAACCGTTTAGTCCCAGCATCAAACTGCAACATGTGTCCCTTTCCGCTGCATCTCTTCTGATCCAGATTCCAAATCCATACAGCAAAATGTACATCCTGGTACAGTACAATCAGAGCTTTGTGTCAGATGTGATGAACTTAAAGAATAAAAAGGAAATGATCACCCTTAACAAGCTCAAACCAAACACCAACTACACCTTCTGTGTGGCGTCTATACGAAACTCCCAACGCTACAATCACACTTGTTTATATTTTTCTACACGAGCTCCAAACCCAGATGACTTGATGCCTCCACCATCCACGACTACCCACTACATAATGACCATTGTTGGCTGCTTATTTGGAATGCTCATTGTTCTTGGGTTTGTCTACTATTGCTTGCGAAGGCGTCGCCGTCAAGAAGAGAAAGAAAAATCCATCTGCGTGAAAAAGACTATTCTGGAAATGCGTTATGGACCAGAGGTTGCAGCAGCAGTTGCAAATGACCCCGCAGCTGTCCAGAAACTTCATGAGCAAAGCCACCATCAGCACCACCATGGCAAACTGCCCATGTCCTCCTCGTCCAGCTCTGCCATGCTTGGCCATGGTTCTGCCAACACAAGCTCCTCACGTCTATCCTCCATCCCTCAGGTAGAGAAGATGGCAACTGCCTTCTCAGAAGCCATGGGGTCTAAAGGCAACTATATGGACATTAGGACCTCTGTAGGAGGAGATGAAAGGGGAAGAGATGGGGCTGTGGTGCATGGTCTTCGGGAGGAAGACCTCAGGGGGGATGATGGAAGTGACCTGGGTGATGACTCAGATGATGATGGTCGAGGATCAGCATCTGAGATTTCAACTATTGCAATGGAAGTGGACAAGGTCAACCAGATTATTAACAACTGCATTGATGCCCTCAAGCTAGACTCTGTTACAGCATCTAGTGTTTCCACCACAGCAAGTGGTCCAACATCACCCCCACCTACCTCTAACTCCTCCCTGACGAAAGGACTGATTCCCATCTCTAGTAGCATGAGTGATACCTGCCAAGTCCTGCCCTCCCCAAAGATCCCTCCTCCACCCCCTCTTCCCTTCCCAGCTCCTCTGTCTGAGAGACCTGGGATCACAGGGGGCGGGTTTGTGTCACCGCCATACCGGCCACCTCCCCCAGCTTCCGCAGTGAGGCCTATTCAAAGACAGATGAGTGCTGATGCAGCTGTCATTGTTTCCTCTGCCAAGAGGCACTGCCGCCCATCTAGTGGGAAAGCTCGTGTGTACAGCTTAGATGTTCCGGAACCCCACAGCCCTGATCCATGCCACTATACAGACAAGGGAAGTCCATTGGGGTGTGGAGAACCCCTAGAGAGGCTCCCATTAGTAGGTAGTGGTGGAGGTGGTGGCTGTAGCATAGATGGTGGGACTGTAGATGGGATGGCCCTTCAGCAGCACCTGGAGGTGCACCCAGACTACCACTGTGCCGAGCATCGTCACTCAGTCCCTGCCCTTTACTACGAGGGCTCTCATGATTCCCCAGCCCAAAGGGTGTCCTTTCTTAAGCCGCTGTCACGCACCAAGAGAGACGCTGCTTCCTACTCTCAGCTCTCTCCACGTCACCACAATTACTCGGGCTACTCCTCAAGTCCAGAATACTCCACTGAGAGCACCTTGCGCATCTGGGAGCGCTTCCGACCCCACAGAAAAGGTCCACGTGAAGAGTCCTGTTATGTAACGGCGGGAAACGCCTTGCGAAAAAAGGTCCAGTTTGCCAAGGGGGAGGACTTGCATGACATCCTTGATTACTGGAAAGGTGTGTCAGCACAGCAAAAGCTGTAATCTATGACGCTGCGTGGATACACAGCGCAGGTCTCCTTCACTGCCTGATGAACCGGAAGAGCAACAGGTTATGGCTGCAGTGGTCAAAACAGAGCCAAGTCTGTCAGGGTTTGAGGACAAGTCTTTTAATCTGGTTTTGTACAGCGAGCCAGAAAGAGAGCAAAAGAGCCTGAGGATACACTGTATACATAGGATAACATACAGCGATTTTATTTGGAGCCATGACAATTGTCATACTCTCTGGGAAAAGATGCGCTTATCATTTGTCAATATTTGAAATAATTGTATTTTACTCTGCATTCATCTGTGTATTCATCATTCATATCAACGGCGAGACCTTTGTAACCTGAGCCCTCATTCAGCCTGAAAGAAAATCTTTGTTTATAACTCCCACTCAAATCATAGGCCATTACATCCATTTGTTAGGCAGGAATGTGAAAGAATGTGTGGTTTAGGAGGATAAAATGATGTGCTGATTTTCTACAAACCTGTCAAAAGCAGTTTCCCCCTTCCGTACAGCAGAGACTGTGCACAGGGCATCCAAATTTACATTTCAATAGCACTCCTCGTGAGAAATATAAAGGAATAGAGAAGGGAAAAAATAAAAAAATGAAACCGAAGAATCTCCCAGGGGAGCTCTGGAATAGTCAGTCGTGTTTGGCAGCTGCTTGCTGTGCTGAGCAGGATGACATAAATAGTGCAAGGGGTGCTACAGAAATACTGTAGATTTACCAGGCTGTGGAGAAAATGCAAAGATCTGTGATTTAAGATTAAAAAGACATAGCTTTGTGCATCTTTGATGCATTATTAATAGCATTTCCATATCAGAGGTTACCCTGTCACCTGTATCCCAGCACGAGCATGAAGTGGCTGTCGACAGCAGAGGTTTATGTATTCTGTTCCTCTGCCCTGAGGTCACTTTGTTTAGTCCATTAATTGGCTATTGAAAGCCTGTTGCTGACAGCTGAGACACTCAACGGCCAAACCCCGTTGACCCCGTAGACCCCGTTGTGGCACTTTTAAAACAACACTTTATATGACACCTTTCTCCAGTCTATTTGTTTATTTATTCAAGGGAATTATTATCCATGATGCTGACACCGAAATACAGACAAGCCAAGAGCAAGATTCAATTCAATTCAATTAAAAATAATTTATCGACCTTCAATGTTAATAGTAAAACTAAAGCACTTAATCTCAAATACAGATCTCAGAAGCCTTTTGATCTCAGAATACATGATTTATTGTAAAAATGACAAATATTATTAACCCCAACACCTTTGTCAGCCGTTATGTTATTAATGTCCAGTTAGATTAAACTAACTAATTATAAATGAACCAGGGCTATATCCTTTAGCATGCAAGGGTAAGCAGACAAGACCTCCAATTTGATTAAAAGAGATCACTCTCTCTTCTGCTCTCTCAGTCACCATGTTCAGCCTACAATTTCATGGACCAATAAACCAAAAAATTTGATTAGTGGCACTGTGGGGAAATATACATGTGTTTACAATGCAATCGCATACTCAAATGACAGAAGAGACACCCAACAGTCACAGCAAATGGTGTTAATTATAAATGAGGCCCAAATAAATACAGATCTTAAAAGAATAGTTCACCCAGTTTCTCACCTTTATGTCTTTTTAAAATGACATGGGTCACTTTCTTCTGTAGAACACCAAAATGACATTGTGAAATGTGTTTTCCATTTTCCTTTTCCGTACATATGAGATGAATGAAAACTGAAGCTTTCTAACTTAAAAATGACACAAATAGCCTGTTTTCCAAAGCTATTGTACGTCCTCAAAAGACTTGAGATATAGCATATGAATCATATAAACCCCCTTCATTATACTTTTATGCTTTTGCATCCTGTTTTGGAGCTTAAAAGCTGCAGTCCCCATTCATTATAATTTCATGGAAAATGGGAAATGTTTCAGACTTCACAATTCAGAATGAAAGAAAAACACGTCGTAACAACTTTTGAGTGAGAATGTGAGAACTTTCTGAAGGTAAACTATTCCTTTAACCCTGATTGGAGATCCTATTAGCTGCACTTTGCCAGGCACGTACTTTGACGTTACTATCAGCGAAACATGTCTGTGTATATCTGGTTGGAAAATCATGAATTATATTTGATCAAAAAGCGCTCGTGGTGTTCGCATTAACCGGCAAACCTGTTTATTCTGCATCAGGTGTTTTCGTGCCTTCAGTAAAAGGGTCCGTTATTTGTTAGTTCTTGATTTCAGTGCTGTTTGGTTCATATTGTGTAAATCACACCATATCCCTTACATAATAAGAGTTTTCATTGTAAATATGTGTTTATATACCATTCTTATCTTATTTCTTGATTAAGATTTTTCATTGTAAATATGGGATAGATATCTGCCAACATTGGACATACACTCAGGCACAATGCTTTTTTGGTACTCTCATTTTGGGGGCTAAGCTAAGGTACAGTATGACGAAAGGTGTTTTAAAGGATGCTTGGATCACACAAGGAGGAACAGCAGCAGCTATAACAGATGTGGATTATTAGGGAACTGTGTGTACATTGACACAACACTACATGCAGATCTTTTAGAAAGAATGGACCCTAACATTCTTGGGCATCTGAAATGAACCCACAAAGGACTGCTACCGGAGGCTTACTGTGACATTTTCCTTTATGAACTTCATTTTAAAACCACTTGGACTGGCCATAAGGAACTAACCATGAATGCTCAATCAAAAATGACTGTTCATTTTTATAACAGTAAAATCGGATGCCCAGCTTTATATGGTTTTTATTGTGCCTCCCATCATTGACAAAGAAAAAAAAAAAGACTTGCACTCCTGTACAAATGCTTATCAGCCATTTTCGCAATGAATTCATGGTTGAAGAACAAAAGACGGAAGTGATTTGGCATGGCATCTTTAAGATTCTTGTTTTACATATTAATTGAAAATATGAACTTGCTGTTTTTTTATTATTCTTCATGACGCTCTCTTGCTCAAGGTCGTTTTCCTTCATTATTCTTTCAACGTTTCCCAATTGTTCAGGACAAACAAGCAAATCAATTCCTTCAGTTTAAGATCTCCTTTATCACATTTTATATCTGATCTTTATTCAAATCCATGTTTCGTTTAGAGTAAATTCTTTAATTTAATGAACTTGGCCTTTATATCTTTGCTTGACAAATCATGGATAATTACCCAGTTCAGCCAAATGACATGTTTAAATACCCTTACAGAGCTAACAAACTAAAAGATTCCATTTATTTAGCACTGAATCGATCGCAGTTTTGAAAGTTTTGATTCTTGGAGTACTTTTTTGTGTGTGTGGAGTTAAAAATGCATGTGTCATTATGCTAGTTCCCCTTTAACGTTTGATTTTGTTTTTAATTTGACATTCAAAAGTCCCTAAAGAAGTTTTTGTTGGCCTGGTCTCCTCAGTGTCTGGTGTTGCATAATTGAAGACGTTCAGTGTTGTACTTTAAAAGTCTTTTTTCACACTAATAGGCTTTCTGAAGGCCTTTTCACTAAAGTTGTGTTAAGGAAGTTGGTTTTGCTAAGAGTAGAAAATACTTTGACATTAATCATTGTCAGCTTTTAGCAATATTACACAAAGCGTTAAGTGGATTACTCTTCCACAGCAGTTTTTACTTCTTCTAAGCTCTTTAGCCTGCTTTTAGTGTTAGACACTATGGAAGGAGATTGGCTTGAGGAGAGCACAAGAGATATGCTTTAATGCTTTGAAGCGAGATTTTCATTCCAGCCTCATTTCTTTCTATGGCCTTGGAATTGCATGACAGTAACAAAGGTGAACATTTTGGAGGTAATTAACTAGCCCCGTCACATCATAAATCCCCATTTTACTTCTTTAGAAACCGTAAGGTTGCTTTGTGTCCAAAGTCTTTGCTTATTTGTATTTCAGTTCTCAGTTCTCTAATGAACACATTTAAAAGCAATTACTTCATTATAGAAGACCAGAATCCATATTAATAATTACTCAGGACCAAATAATGTTCGTCAAGCTTATTATTTCTCCTTTACGCCACTAAATCCTGTACAAACTAGGTTCAGTCAATGGGTTTTGCTGGCACTTTATGTCTTTGTAGGTCTTCCTCATTGGCTTTGGCCGTCTTTGTTCATACTCAAGCCTAGAGTAAATCACTGCGAGGGTCTCTGGAGTCAGGATAATTGTGCCTGTTTTATGAAGCTTTTAAGTCGTTTTCTCCCTCTTTGCGCAGCATTCTGCAGTGTTTCCCTCTGATATTCTCCACTTGTTTGTTCTTTTCTCCCAAATGTTCTGTGAATTCTTCTGGTTTGACGGTGGGGTGGAAAACATGAAGGATTGCGTGAAACACGCTGTAGGACAGATAAACACAAATGTTTAGAAGTAGTAGAGACAATAAAAGGGCCGGTTGCTGTGCTACTCTAACATGCAGCCCAGGGGCTTTCATAACCTAATTAAGGAATAAATCTTTATATTAAACTGTGATGGAGAGACAAACGCTTGTGTGAGACTTTTTTTTCTTTGCAAGCTGCAAAGAAAGAAGTGCAGGCTAACTGTGAATGCACTCATCACGGTGGTTCGAAGTATAGCGGTGTGATGATGAAAAGCACATTAAACACTCAAGATCAGGAGGAGACTATAAATCAGGGCTGGAGAGGATACGCCGAGTGTGTAGGAGTACTTTAAAAGAAAAGAAAGGAATAGAGTAGAGAGATGAGTAGAGTACACAAGATGCATCAGCTTCATAATGACTGGAGCTTTGAATGAATAAACATGCGCAATCTTTAATGTTGAAGTCAAATAAATAATGATGCAAAGGCTAATGCGCGCATGATGAAACAACCTTCGACCATTAGATAGTTTCAACTGCTTTTGAAATCATAGGCCAATTAGACCAACATGTTTGTGTGCTGTTTATTAGTTTAGCTGAAAAGGATAGTTCACTCAAAATATCCATATTTATCTATGAATAGTTTTGTTCTGTTTTCCTTTTTTTATTTTATTCTGTTTCCAGAAAACAATTTTGTGTTTAATAGACATCTAATAGACATCTTAATGTTGACAGCTTGACTAAAACAAGGATACACTTGGGCTGTCAGTGAATATCTATTAGACAGCCCAAATTTAGCATCGTTTTAGCCCAAACGACTATGTTTATTTATTTGTTAGACATCTTTTAAAAACAAAAAATGCTTGCTGTTTTTTTTTTTTTTTTTTTTTTTTGATTGGTTTGGTGGACTTTATATGCTTTGGTTTTCTTTGCTTTTGATTTGTTTGTTTGTTCTCTCTTTTGCTTTGTATGGATTAGTGTGGCTTTTATGTTTCTGTTTTGTTTGCTTTAGATATGTATGTTTGTTGCTTTTAAAGGTTCTGTTCAGTGCTTAATTTGTAAATAATAATTCTCGGAACAAAACTAGGGAATAAACGTTTCTGTGACTGACGTCCGCCACATAATTTCAGTTTTCCCGGCACATGTCGTCATTAAACGGTGATATTGTAAAAAAAAAAAAAAAAAAGAACATAACATTTCTAAATGGTCATTAATTACTTTGTGTCAACGTTTAGATGTCTAGACATCTATTAAACACAAAATTGTTTGCTGGGAACAGAAAATGCAAACAACAGCAAAAAACTAAAGCAAGAAAAACAGAACAAAACTATTCATGGATAAATATTAATAATTTGGCTGAACTATCCTTTTCAGCTGAACTAACAAACAACACACAAACCTGTGGGTCTAATTGGCCTATGATGTCAAAAGGAGTTGAAACTATATAAAGGTCAAAGGTTGTTTCATCATGCACGCATTAGCCTTTGCATCATTATTTAGCTTCTTAACATTCCCACATGTCTATTATTATTACGATCTGTGATTTTGGTGGACTTTATATGCTTTGGTTTTCTTTGCTTTTGATTAGTTTGTTTGTTCTCTTTTGCTTTGTATGGATTAGTGTAGCTTTTTTATTTATTTATTTATTTATTTGCTTTAGATATGTATGTTTGTTGCTTTGAAAGGTTCTGTTCAGTGCTTAATTTGTAAATGAATAAGTCCCGAAACAAAACCAGGAAATAAAAGTTACCGTGACCAACATCCACCACACAATTTCAGGTTTCCTGGAACATAATGTCATTAAGCAAAAAAGAGCATCACATTTTTGAACAGACTTTATTTTGTGCCATATAATGATATAGGTCAGTGATGGATAATAAAATCATGAAGCTACAAACATAAATCATACAAACAATCACTATTCAGTTCACTTCACTGTTATGTGCCAAGTGAAAAACAAACAATTAAATGACTTACTCAGTCTAATCTTCAAAAGAGCAGTTAACTCTTCCGTCATGCTTTCTGGCTGACTTGGGACCGATTTGCTCCTGTTTCCCACTATCCTGATCCATTCGCACAGTTTCATTTTCAAGATCTCTTTTGGTGAGGCTCATTATCAGATTTACTTGTGATTTTAAAAAATTTAAATATGCATGACTGCCTCTTTACCATTTTAAAAATACAAATATTTTTTTAGGTCGGCCTCTATGCCATTATTTATTTTCACTGCTCACTGAGCACGAAACAATCAACAACCAAAGAGAGTGATTGTAAACAAGAAAGACCATTGGCTGAAAATATTATTGAGGGCAGTGCTAAGTTAATTTGTAAATGGATAATTTTCGCAACAATACCAGGAAATAAATGTTATAGTGACCGACGTCCGCCACACAATTTCATAATACAATAAATGATCTAAAACTAAATAAATAATCAAATTTCTGAATGTTATGGGTCAACATGTAACATCAATATCCAGTTTAGTAAGACCATTGACATTAAGTTCACTATTATGTGCCAAGCGAAATGACTCACTCAGTCCAATCTTCAAGAAGAGCCCACATTTAGCTCTTCCATCATGTTTTCTGGCTGGCATGTCATGTGATCACTTTGCTTCTGTCTCCCACTTTCCTGATCCAGGGTTGCAGTTTCATCTTCTCGAGATCTCTTTTGATCAGGCTCATTATCAGATTTACTCGTGGTTTTTTAAATGATAATATGCATGACTGAAAATATAAATATTATTTATGTTGGCCACTATGCCATTGTTTATTTTTTGCTGCTCATTGCGCATGAAACAATCACCATGACAAATGTTACTAATGTATTGACAAAACATTTATAAAGTTTCAATAAAATAAAAAAAACATGTATTATAAGAAAACATAGTAAACACAGTAAATAGTACTAGTAGTAGTACAAAAAAGATTACATGTATATATGAGGGATTATTATATATGTATGTTTTTGTCACTAAAGTTCTAGTTGTAATTGTTATTATTATGTTTTCGCGATCAGTGGTTTTCACACAAGCTTCATTTGCACTCATTCACATTCTCCCTCTCTCACACACAAACACACACATACATAGGTATTCACCACGCACAAGTTAATGCCAGATCCATTAAAATAAAAAATATAAAGTAAAACACCATTATTTAACATTAAAATAAATACCAGAACGAAAAGCACCAATATCTAACATTTTCAGGATAAAGATCTGGCTCAAATTAAGCACTGGTTCTGTTTTGTTTTGGTAGGTTATGTTTTGTTTGTTTTTTCTTTATTAGTTTTTTTCTTCTTTGTTGTTTGTTTTTATTTTGCTTTGCTGATTTGTTTTGTTTGTCTGTGTTTAAGTAGTTTTGGGGTCTTTTGTTTTCTTTTGTTTGTTTGTTCTGTTTTTGTTTTGTTTTTTGTTTAGTTCTGTCCATTTTAGAGCTATGGTCACTAGTGAAAAAGCTGATGCAGAATTGTCATTTTTGGATGAAATATCCTTTAACAGTTTTGCGCTCTCTATCACAAATCGTGGGAAATGCTTAATAGACACGTGGGAATGTCAAGAAGCTAACTAGGATTTTCCCAGCGACTCACACGAGGGAATCACACCAGTTAATCCTGGATACTGCTTCATCCCCCTCCATCACTCGCTTCTCAATTAACTTCAGACTCCATCAGCCTGATGTGGCCCTGTAATCTTCCGCTCATTCCCACCACAGTCTCACTCTCCGTCTGCAGGCCGACATGTCAAGATAAAGACAGAATCACTCACACAGTCAGACAGCAGTTGAGAAAGTGTAATGAAACCATGTATTTTAAGATCCTCAAAGACTTTGTTTTGATGGCTGATGCAATAGCAGCGTTAGAAGCATATGTTTTTTTTTGTTTTTTTGTTTTTTGAATGTGCAAAAAAAGGGTTTACAAGGAGAAGTTTATTTATTTATTTATTTATTTATTTATTTATATTTATTTTTATTTTTATTATTTATGTTTAAGCATAGAGGGGCTTATTTTTTGTTTATTATTATTATTATTAATTTATTATTTTTAATAATCTATCTATCTATCTATCTATCTATCTATCTATCTATCTATCTATCTATCTATCTATCTATCTATCTATCTATCTATCTATCTATCTATCTATCTATCTATCTATCTATCAGCATTGAGGGGCTTGTTTATTTATTATTATTATTATTATTATTAATAATAATAATGTACTTAATTATTTTTGAATAGATACACATCTTAGTGGCTATAAATATAAGTAGATTCACTGAATGTGACTTTCACAGTCTGGCTTTGGCACATTGTAAAGCGGGTAGGAATCTGAGAGTAGGAGTTTGTGGGGGTGGTGTTCGGGTCTACTGTCGTTCATTCGATTATTTTTACAGTCAATTCCGACACTCTAATAATGTGTTTTGCTAAACCTAGGGGTTAAACGCACAAAAGGGTGACAAGGGCCTTTTGCTTTTCATTTTGTTTTAATCCTCCAGTATAATAATCCCCTTACATGATGGTGGCATGCAGTTGGCGGATCTGTCTGTGCGCTCTTGAGCATCTTAGAGCCTTCGCCTGTCCCAAAATGTGGCTCAGGAACTTTTATGACAATGATTATTCATTTGCATCTTCTTTTTGCTAGCCCTCATTTCACAAACATGATTTACTGCTCCAAACAAACAGGAGGTAAATAGAATGAAAAAATAGCTATATTTGTGAACTGCAAACTTTGTATAAAAAGAGATCAAATTTGTTTTTGTCACTGAAGTTCTAGTTGTAAGTGTTATTATTATGTTTTCGGGGTGGGTGGTTTTATGGATGATCTTGTATATCTTTGGTCTGAGTTAACAGAATGATCAACGTTTAAGCTGAGACCCTAGAAAGTGGCGACAAAGAAAAAACAGTGTTATGTTTGCATGATTTCTTGTATTTTTCAAAGAGATAAATTATATTGTTGTGTATATTGAGTGGATATATGTTGCAAACAAAGCAAAAATGATGAATCATTCTGAAGGATGATACTGAGGTTTATTATAACACCTCAAGAATGCTGAACTACTTCCATTGCTGTCACTGAAATACAATTTCAAATCAAGAAAATAAAAAACTGCCTGAAACAATGCCATGGGGAAGCTTTGTACTCTGCTTTACAATAGCCAATAGCAA